GTCAAATATCGATAATCAGTCAAAAATTGTTTTAAATTCCGCGCCCAACAGATTCCTCCCACTCTCAACACCCTACCTCGCCAAGTCCGATGCTACAGTCTGCCTCCCCTTCTAGGCTAGAGCTCCCCCTCTGTCTAAACTATGTAATCTAAGAGAAACTAATGTTTGAAAGAAAATGAGTTAAAATGAGGTGCAAATAAAAAGTCAAAACTGTCATTTGACACAACATACAATGTGTGTGTGATGCATATACTGTACAGTATATACAGTATATGCATCACACACAGTGTGTACTGTACAACATGTATTTATATTAATCATTGACAGATTTGTTTAATAAATGCTTTAACTGATATTCACTCACATTTTAGTACAATTTTATCTTCATGTGTGTTTTCTCTTCTTTTATTCACATCATTATTTTAAATGTGCTTTAATAACTCTGGTTTAATGACGGCTCATGTGTTGTGAGCTGCTGTAACGTCATATTGACCCGGTCTATCTTGAAACAAAGATGTGTAAACTGTCTCCATCAGATCTAACCAGCTAAATAAAGGTTTAAATAAAATTACGTGCAGCCTCCTGACAACAAACAGTCCAGGCTCAACACGGGACCAGAACCAGAACTTTGTTGCTGTGAGTGTTAAGGTGTGGAGGTTAGCACGTAGCATAGCATTGCTAAGCTAACTACAGTAGTAGAGACGTTAAATCATTAAAAAAACAGTTCCAACACACACAGTTACACTCTGACATTGTTCTGACATTGTCTCACAAAATGATTTATATAGAATTTTTTGTTTACCGGACAAAAAGTGATGGGAGCACGACGTCTTCGAGGGCAGATCCTTATCCAGACTCAAGGTGTCCTGAGGTGAGCTCCTCCATGGAGCTCCTTCACATTTCATTATTTTTGGGATTAAGTGAAAACAGCGCTTTGCCCAAACGTCTCCCCGGTTGTAACATCCTCTAACCCAGTCACCCCAGGTGTTGTTCACTGTTTATCGTTAATGTTCCTATATATTCTAATTCTTTGTGTCTTCTCAGAATCAGAATCATCTTTATTGTTATTGCACCAAAGCACAACAAAATTACATTTCAGTACAGCCCATTCTCATTCGTCTGTGGGTTGTCCTGTCTAGGCATCATGCTTTGTCTTCCTCTGTTTCTCCGAGTTCGTATGTACGTAAGTTTTGCTTCCACGTCAGCCTTTTTTTTGTTAATAAATATTATTCTTACCTAATCCTTTGAGTTATCCACACCTGTCTGCACTTTGGGTTCAAACCACACCACAATCACGATAGATGTATTTCCAATTATTACTTTTTGAAAGTTTTAAGAAATGTTGTCTTATGGTTTATGAAATACTGTGGTAACCCTTGAATGCACACAGACACAGGCAATGCCTTTATTTCCTGACATCCATATATCAGTACCAATAGTCTCAGCAGTACTATTTGAGACTGATCCTGCTGATCACATTTTTTTTCATTCAACCTTTATTTATACAGATAAATCACATTGAGCCTTTAAGACTCATTTACAAGTGGGACCAGTTTGCACAGACAAAACTTTGGACCTTTAATGTATACCATGGTGAAACGGTGTGGTAGAGGGAGAACTCAATCAGACCTTATGTCCTTCCTGACATGTGAGATTGCTTCAAATTGTATGATACAATTTTCATGGAAAGATCTAAAAGTAATCAGTGGGCCTGCTGTCCCCTCACTAAGCCACAATAAGAGGGTTTTGATGCACGGAGAACAAAGCAAAAGAGGATTTACAGGCTGCTTTTATTAAAAGGATCTGAAATCTACCTGTTCTCTCAAACAGCAGGCAGATTGACACTTCTGGCATGCAGACCAGAACTCCAAACACAAGTGTCTCATGGACTTACACGGCTTTGTTTTCACTCTGTTTATTGTGAAAAGCAGCACAAATCAAATACCTCTTCACAACAATTCCAACATCAATTTATTTGTCAGCTTGTGTGTGGACACAGTGGCTGATTTCCCACTTTGTTTCATTTTCTCATTGCCTTCATGTGATGGGCTGAACATGCATGACCCCCTACAGCAGCCTGTCCATGCTTATACTGAAGGGTAGTCCTCGATGAGATGGTCAGTTGGAAATTCTTTTTATTTTCATACAACTATCATTTCCCATTTCCCTATTTGATTGGAGCTTAAAGCGAAAACAGCTCAGATCGTGCCAGAGTAAATCTCCAGGCCCATTAATCCGCACCGGTGTCATCTCGCGCACAGAGCTGCCCAATCATGTGTGGATATTCGAAAGGAAATGAAAAGAATGACATGCAGAAGGAGCTCACCCACTGAGCAGATTGGATGTTTAAAATAGGTATGATGCTTTCTGAGCTCTCTGTTGATTGTTTTTCTCTGTATTTGGAATGAAATGATATGAAACTGTCTGCAGAGATAGTTAGGGTCAAGATCAGAAGACTTTTTTTTTTTTTTTGCTTTAACTCTGATAACTCCTTGTTGTTTCTCTTCTTCTTAAAATCTTTTAAAAATTTTCAGTCTGTCTTATCAGTCTGCTCCGGGAGTTGGAATCTGTGTGTGTTCAATTATATCCTGATGTATGCTCAATAATCCAGGTAGAAAAATCTTAAAAAGTTAAATCTGGTCCTCTGGACATAAAAAAAAAAAAAACAAAGCAAAAAAATGTAGAAACGTTTCGTCTCTCATCCGAGAGACTTCCTCAGTCTGAGGTGCTGTTTTCAGCTCAGTCTCTTAAATAGCACCTTCTCAGAGTGGATCAACCAGTTTGCTGCTGACAACCAGAACCAGCTGATCACATGCTCAAGAAGGACCATCAGCCTAACAATGGATCATTAGCACCTGATGGCTGTTTACTGTTCACAGAGGGCTGAGTGATACTAGCAATCACAGCATTGTAAGAGGGGGACAGTTGAACCTGGAGGCTCCGCCCCTGTTTCATGATGGACGGTTTCTTTTCACAAAGATGGCCTCCTTTACTCCTCTCTCAAACCATCGTTCCTCTC